ATTATTATTAACACAATCAACGAGCTTCTCTTTGCCCTCACTAAGGGAGAACTACAAGACCCTCCAAAAAAATTAAAATTTAAACAAAGGAACAAAAGCTGCAAAGATCTCAACAGGAAGATCATAGCAAAAAACCAACAACAGAGTCGATGATAATTATCAAAACCCCAATTCCACAAATATTGCAGTCGACAACAGCAAAATCAAGCTAGTAAACCAGTTATAATACATAGGACGTGTTCACCCAAAAGGGAAAAAAGGGATAGGGGAATAAAAACCAGAATTTAAAAATGCCGACAATGTGGCCTATCAACTTGCTATCTCAGAATTGAAGTGTTCGATCTGACATTTTTTGCCGCTTTGAGTTACTAAGACCATGGGTTCAGAAAGAAAATGCTCTAACTGCTCTCTAAAAATCTTAAGAATATTCGGAATCGTTATCAAGATATCCAAAGAATTGCAATCGAAAAAGTTTGATACATTGCGAAACGCAAAAATTTTGACGCCAAATTTATCAAAACCAGGCACTGAGCAGATAAAACTTTGTAATTCTGTTATAGCGAACTAGCACCCTTACTTTCACTTCCCAATATCTTAACGGAAACAGAGTGCCAACTAATTAAAGAGACTTTCATGCCGACATTGTGCTATCAAGCCCTAATAGAGACAATAGCCAAGAGATACCAAAACAAAATTTTAACCAACGCCTGTGAAATGAGATGCCTTAGAAAAAACTCTGAACATTACAATAAGAGAAAGGATGAGAACCTAGACTATCACTGACCAAATTGCCTCAACTACCTGCTTACAATAGGTACATAGATAAACAACAAATTAAAGTAAGCAAAAAGAAACATGGGTAAATGATCAGTGTCAAGAACGAATGAAAACGAAAGAAATAGTGCCAAGAAATAGAGAAGAATTAAAACAAAGATAAACACATGCATACCGAAATCTAAGAAGTAAGAAGGGGGGGTGATGCTTAAATGCAGGTTGCATTAGATAGATCAAAAGGAGAAGAATTTTTAATAGACAAAAGGGATGTTTTAAATAGATGTACCGAATACATAGAGAAGAACAACGAATCAAATAATGGTTTGGGCTTCTAGAAAGACTCCCACCAGACAGTACAGCAGCGAGAGCATTCAATCAGAAATCAGGCGGAACAGAATGGACAGGCCCAGGAAAAGCTGGAAAGCCGGAGGGGGGGGGGGGTGTCATCTATCTATATTATATTTGTGAAAGTTCGTCATTTTGGTCGCCTAAAACTTCCGAACGACTTAACTTTCGAACCTGAACAAATTAACCTTGGTTCAGAATCATTTTAAGGGTGCACAGTTTTATATTAAGGAATCTGAAGTCACTGTAGTTTAATTTTCAGTTTTTCATTAGTTTTGTTTAGATCTAATCTTGGGAAAGTCCGTCTTCTAACACGCCATTGTTAACAAGTGAGGCTTCCGTTCACATGCGATGCGCACTGTCCCTTCAATGACTTGACGATCGATCCTTTATCGAACGGGGTACCTAGCTTGTAGAAACAATCTTCCAAAACTACATAACCGTTCAACAGGCGATACAACAAACAAGAACCAAACGTTTGCTTTTCCCATCGATACTGCAAGGCGACATGGGCCAGAACAAAAAAAAAAGGAAATAAAGACTAACTTTCGTTTGCTTATTTTAGTAAAGAGAAGCACATCGCCAAATAATGGGGAAAGGGGGACAGAAAAGATGAGGGACCTACTAGTGAAGCCCTTAACAGAATAATAATAATAATAATAATAATAATAATAATAATAATAATAATAATAATAATAATAATAATAATAATAATAATAATAATAATAATAATAATAATAATAATAATAATAATAATAATAATAATATTTATAATAATAATAATAATAATAATAATGATAATAATAATGAGAAGAAGAAGAAGAAGAAGAAGAAGAAGAAGAAGAAGAAGAAGAAGAAGAAGAAGAAGAAGAAGAAGAAGAAGAAGAAGAAGAAGAAGAAGAAGAAGAAGAAGAAGAAGAAGAAGAAGAAGAAGAACAACAACAACAACAACAACAACAACAACAACAACAACAACAACAACAACAACAACAACAACAACAACAACAACAATAATAATAAAGAAAAATAACATTTAAGCCAAGCATTTCAATTTTCTTCTTTTTTTTTAATGCTCAGTGTCAATAAAGATATCCCTTTCTTTGAAAAAAAAAAAATTGACATGTGTGAACGAAAAACATAGTATTATTATTATACATGTATATAAAAAAATAAATATTATAAGAAAATTAGTCACGCAGTGAGCCTGGCATTACGTTCACTTAAAATATAGAATGGAAACTTGATTGATTATATATACAATAAAACATAAGATAAAACATTCGTTCTCTATTGATGGGATGACATTTCTGTTCTCTCTCTCTCCCTCTCTCTCTCTCTCTCTCTCTCTCTCTCTCTCTCTCTCTCTCTCTCTCTCATTCTCACACGTTATTTCTTCAGTCTCATCGTCGGACGAATGTATGCATATATAAAAGTTCATCGTCATGACAGGTATGCATTTGCGAAAAAGTTTTGTTTCAGTTTGGGTGAGGGGGGGTGAATGGTAGGGGCACACCTCATCAAATATGGGAATTTGTTCTATACATGAGGACCAAAGAAGAAAAAGGAAAGCTCGCCGTATGTTTTGTAATTTAGTTTTGGGGTTCAAAGAATTAGATTGTCTGAGGCTGATTTAAGGGCTCTGTGTGGATGATATAATTCCAGGAATTGCTTTTGATAGATAGATACAGTATAATTCAGACATTCAAATCAGAAAACGGTAGTTTTGTATTTGGTCCTTTCTTTAACTGGCAGCCAGTGTAGTTGTTCCAGAATCAGTGTTACGTGCGCTGATTTCTTTTGTTTCATTATCAATTTTGCTGCTTGATTTTGGAGTACTTGTAACTTTGACAGTTTTTCAAAGCAGATAGAACAGCATAGCAGTAATCTAATTTCGATAAAAATCAGTGTTGTTATTAATGTCTTGGTAGCTGCTATAATTAAATAATCCCGTACATTAACAATTTCTTAAAGATGAAAATAGATGCTTTAGCTGAGCTGGCTAATAGTGGAGACCTAGTTTTGAACGAATTATTGAAGTCAATTTGTAGTTCTGGGAGATGTCTAATCAGAGCAGATATCAAACCACATGTACGACTAAACAAATTAATAAACGACTCACGTTAATAAGAGAACAGGCAGTCTACTATACAGTTCACATCTTCAAACAAAATGAAATGAAATTACAATGTTCGCAAACAGTGAATAGCAACACTGATAAACCAAAACTAAAACAAAAACAAAAAAAGCGTCCAACTTACGAGATAATGCCTCCGCTGAATACGAAAGTCAGATTGCTTGGAGGCTAGGGTGTCCGTGGTATCTTATGCGCATCCAAAAAATGCGTCACAAGAAGTGGGGATGATAAGAGGAAAAGACAAGCCGGATTTGCGCTAGCTTCCATTCAGAGTACTTAACTTAGAAAAGCCAATTGGAGACAAAAGGCGCGAAGAAGTGAAGAAGTTATGGATAAGAGGGTTGCTCGAGGTCACTCGAGGAGAAGGGCGAGAGGTCCGGGGGTATGACGTGAGTGGATGTTTGCAAAGTGTGCTATATACAGGGAAGTGAAACGGGGAGATGGCAGATGCGGAGATATGGGGGGATATTAAAGATAGAATAGGGCGACGCGAAGGGCGGTTGGGGCGTGTTTGGGGGGAGGGGGGGGACGGCGATGTTTGTTGGAGCTTTTCTGCTTTTCTTTGGGGGGGGGGGGCAGCGAAGTAGGGGTGATTATTGCGTGTTTTGGTTGTTTTTATCTCTTGAACTTTGGTTAAGAAGTACTATTATCAAATGTGTCCCGACGCAGTGGAGTCACGCGCTCGTCAAATTTTTGGTATCCTCTTAAAGCTTGTTCATATGTTTTGCTTTCGATGAAAAAAAAAGTACCTATGTCTCTTAAACAGAATTCGGGGTATTTTCAATTGAAGGAAATGGGGGTCACCTGGTCTCAAAGGCAAAATAAGAGAGAAAATGGCACCAAAGTTTGGAGATTTCAATAGCTTGAGAGTCCTTGAAAACTAAAAATGTACGGGTTTTTGTGCCATTAATCTACGTTTTTCAATGACATGATCTTAGATATTTCAGAAATGTGTTCTCAAATTTACATCAAATAGACTAAAAATCAAGAATTTGTTTGCTAAACAGCTATAAAATGCCGGTTACTTCAATTTCATTATTTTGACGAGCGCCTGATTTCACCAGGATGCCCAACAAATGGTTTACGCTTACGTAAATTTGGACCGTCTCTTGATTATTTTCTTCCTGGTTTCCATCATTTGCGTATTTGTTCATTCGTTTGTTTCCTTTCTTTCCAAATACAACTGACACTCACAGTATGGTTTTTTTAAAAATAAAAACAACTGAGTTGGAAAAAGACGTTAAACACGCCTAATACATTAAGACAGTTATTCATGATTTAAGGTGCATAATCATCTACTCTGAGTTATTTATTTATTCATCTATTCATCTATTTATTTATTTATTTATTTATTTATTTATTTATTTATTTATTTATTTATTTATTTATTTATTTATTTATTTATTTATTTATTCATTAATCCATCCGCCTATCCATCCATCCATCCATCCGTCCATCCCTCCATCTATTGATTCATTCATTTGTTCATTTACAATTTTCTATTTCTTCATTACTCCATTCATTCATTCTTTTATTCGTTCATTCATTCATCCATTCATTCATTCATTTTTTCTCTATTTACTTATTTACTGGTTTACATATTTACCCTTTTACTAGTGTATTCATTCATTCATTCATTCATTCATTCATTTATTATTCTTTCATTCATTCATTTGTTTAAATATGTATGTATGCATTATTTAGAGACTCTATTAAATGGGTGGATGTGGTCCTCCCTCCGACGTCTATGGACGATATAATAGCGAGCCACGATTTAGTAATGCCCAGCTGTTCCTCTGCCTGTTTGTGAAGTAAAACGTTCTGATCTACATGTCCAATACAGCCAGTCAGTATAGAACCAGTAAGAGACACAGTCATACAGGATATAGTTGGGCCATGAGCAGTGGCGGCTCGTGGTTTATAGAACTGACCGGCCATCATTCACATAGACTCCTTCTTCCTCCCCAACCCCCTTCCTTCACAAGACACACACACAAACACACACACACACACACACACACACACACACACACACACACACACACACACACACACACAAACGCATTCTCTCTCTCTCTCTCTCTCTCTCTCTCTCTCTCTCTCTCTCTCTCTCTCTCTCTCTCTCTCTCTCTCATTTTATACCCCTACTTTCGCCATCCCCACCCCCTCCCCCACTCACAAACTAACACCACTGTAAACATTTTAATATAATTTGAAAGAGCTGAAATATGGTAGTGTCAAGAAACAATATTATGATTAATGTATGATGGAAGTTACTGAGTTAATAGAAACTGACTTGAACGGCATAGAAAAAGAAACACTACTAGAGTCTATGCTAGAAAACAAACTGAAAGTGAGAAGCACAATAAACAGCTGGTCATGGCCTCCGGTACTTTTACTTTCTACACACCCACACACAATATCGACGTGCACTTGACCTGTAAATATGTAATAAGAACAGTACTGTATGATGGCAAAAAGTCAATTGATACTGTACCATGCAGATTAAGTCTACGATCAGATATTATAAAAAGCTGGACAAAGTTAGCACACAACAGTTTTCCATCATTATGTAATCAAACGTTCTTCATCGTACTTCTCAGTTCTCAGAACACTGTTGTAACAAAGTGGGCAAGTGTGTCAAATGCTTATTATAGAACTTGGTGTCTAGCTGGGGTGACGGTGGATAAGGGGAGGAAAGGGAGGGGGTAGGCCCATTGTTTTCGGCCCAGACTCTGACAGCCGAGAACCTGTCGCTCCTCGCTATAATTCTCCCTTCACTAGACGATTCCTCTTTTCGCCGGCTAGACTCATATGGGCCAGGTACGTTATTAGTGGGGAGAAAGCGATGAATAGTCACCGAACAGGAACTAAAGGTGGCTAAAAATTCAATAAACAAAAAAGATTAGAGCCATATTGGCAATAAATGTTTTGATGATAGTTAGAGAAAGGCTGAATGATAAGTACATGTATTGCTGATGAAATATTTCATGTCTCTGTCCTGCTCAAGACTCAAGACAGTCTCATTACCGATTTTGTAAGCAACACGGAGGCCGTCTTGGCAATCAAGGGATGTTATATTCGCTCTTAGTTGTCTTAGGGCAGTCAATGGATTTGTCCACCCGCAGTGTTCGTTTGTCCTCGTACGAAGTTCCGCGACGTGACGGCTTGACGAGGGACGATTTAAAGTTACGAGCCGGTGCCATAAACAAAGATGACGGAATGAGGCTCTGTCGCGACAAACAACAGTGAATCCCACTTGTCTATTTGAACGCCTTCAAATCAGCAAGGTGCTTTTTGAATATTGATACATGTTTATTCGGATTTACTTAAAACTGAATGAAAATCATCATCAGCAATAAATCTCTTGTCAACAGTCCAGCTGACAAAAATTTGACCGGCCCGCCCCTGGCCATGAGGAATAACTAAACAAAATGAAAGCAACAATCGACTCATGAATGGTGCAGAGAAAATTATTTTATGATTTCAAACACTTGGTTTGACTATCACTCAAAAAGGCGATACACTTGGAAAATCCCTGGAGATATACAATGTAATTTAAACATTTATAGACTTCATACTTAATATGAAAATGTTTTTTAAATGACCTAATATTGTCTAAATCATTTCCAAGAGTAGATTATAATAGTGACCATGTACTATGAGCCTGTCATGTGTAGGTCTGAGAAGCAGATAAAGTTGGTAGATGATCAAATGGAATAGGTTTATTGCCCCTGTCAACACTATTAGGTTATGTAAGAGGCGGGACCTCCGAGTTTAACGTCCATCTCCGAAAGGACCGAGCCATATGGGAAATTTGTGTAAAGTGCCTTTCCCAAGGACACAACATCGGAACGAGCTGAGGCTCGAACCCCCGAACCTTCAATCTCACGATTACGAGTCCGGTAGCCTAACCACTAGGCTACCGACGCCACCTAGGAGTGGGTAAAGATAAGGAAAAAGACAAGCGACTCGTAGAATGATTCAGAGAAAATGATTTCATATCACCCTAGAAAGCGATACACTTGGAAAAGCCCTGGGGGTATAATTAGAAACCAATAGACTTTATACTTATACTAAAAGGTGTTTGAAACGACACAAAGTCTTTATATCCTTTCCAAGAGCAGATCGTAATAGTGACCATGACATGGTCACTATCACAATGTACTGTGTACATATCATGTTTGTTTTGTTGTTGTTGTTTTGTTGTTTTTTTGTGTGGTTTTTTTTGGGTTTGTTTTGGGGTTTTTGGGGGGTGGTTAATAAGTGTTTTACGGCGCTCGCAACTGCATAAGGTCATATGAGCGCACGAGACACATTAAACATTCTCAGTTGGTAGCAAATTTTGAATTTTTACCAGGGAGGCGGCCGAAGTCTACTCTTATTGATTTTAGACCACCTAGGGATCCATAACGTGCGCGATTTTTCACACGGGACCCCCGAGATTTTTCTCCCGAGTCCGAGAAGGCTAAGTGTATATCTTTCCTACCAGAAGATCAGGGTGTGGCTGAAAGACAGCAGGAAGATGGAGCCACGGAGTAGCAGTACAAAGGCCGCAGAGAGAGTCAGGAGCCCAGAGGAGGGGGCAAAGGAATTGAGGAGGTGGGGGCAGAAAAAGGAGACAAAGGCAGACGACAGAACATTGCTAGAGAGCAGGAAATGAAGTGAATGGAGACAATTTTAGAGAATAAATTTTTCCGTCTCTACCCGGATTCGAACCCGAACCTTTGAATGAGAGGCGAACACCTTAACCTCTAGGCTATGAGAGCCCCCCCCCCCCCCACCCCAACCCCACCTATCATGTGTAGGTCTAAGATGCAGATGAATTTGGGGAAAAAACAACTCAAAAAGTCAAAACATCTATCCAAATTATAAAAAGATCTTCTGAAAATAAATCAAGAATTGTGAGAACGTTTCTGTATTGATGTAAGTTTTAAAGTTTCAGCCCTGAGAAAACATGACTAAATCTTAAGAATTGTCGTTTATAAATGAAGGAAGAAAATGGAAGATGGAAAGCAGACCAAATCAACCTTGGAAAAGAATAACTCATTAAATAAGAAAATGAATATTTGAAATCAATTAAGCAACAGAAACATATTAGGTAGATGACCAGGTTGAAGTGAATATCACATTAGAAGAATTAGGCATCGAAAGAAAAAAAACAAATCTCTTAAATTCGATCTATGACATAGCTGAAATTCCAAAAAATAAGAATGTTTAAGTTAGTTTTTATACTTTATCTAAGACACCAAGTGCCACAGAGTTGTGGGTTGCAAAAAGAGAATAAGTCTCAAGAGTCATTTTGCAAATATTTTGTAACGAGCACTAATAGAAAGAAAAACTAA